TTTGTGGGTCGGCACACAAGAGACTAGGGCATAGGAAGTAATAGGCTTGGTATTATAGATAGAAAAAAGACTCAGACACCTTATTATTGTCAATTGCATAATTTCCTACTGAGCTGATAGGCTTGTCCTTAATTTTTTTGGACATTTTCTCTGAGAAGTTCATTGCAAAGGACTTTGACTTTGACCTCTGAAGCAGACGGGTTTCTGGAAGATATTGGGGGTGACATTCAGCAACATGTTATATTTTGAGTTTATAGTTGTGAACGTTTCATATAAGAATGGGAATTTAAATGCTGTTGTTAAAAATGTAAACCTGATGGAATTGACGGAACTCTAGATTGTGAGATATATTAATTATCCACTAATTCACCATTAGGATTAATGGAAGAATACTTTTGAGTATCCTGTTCGTTTGGAAAAATGTTCATGAAGGACCGGTAGTCGAATTTTCCTACAATCCTATGAGTAGGCCTCACATTTCCATTGAATGTTACGTAGCCTTGCTTCCCAAAAGTTATTCTCATCCGGACAGGACAGGAGTGCAGTTTCGACCTCGCCTGAACCCGGTTTATTGTAGCGTAGCGAATAATCTGGACACCTCAACTATCGCACCGGTCCTCCAATAGTGCAATTGGGTCACAGGGCCGATGTGAATTTCAAGGAAGCATCGGCTTTTTTCATATCATGTTTATGTGGTGGGTGAATATAGCTCTTATTTCTCAGTCATCCCTTCTTTTCTAAAATTTTCAGACCCTCATTCACATCATGTTGCCACAAGGTTTTACGTTCATGTGGTAATTTCTGTTGAGGGTAGACCTGCCAGCCAGTCTAGAAGAGTTTAGTAGAGCACAAAGCCGTCAGTTATGGTTCATTGGTTCACAAATATGTAATCGCTGTATATATGGACGATGCAGGACACGCATGGCAATGACGCAAAGCACAGTGATATGCGGGCTAGATAGACTTTATTTCACAGCTTAAGATTGCGGAGTCAATAGAAGTAAGTAGAACAACCAACATCTTGAATAAAAAGAATGTTAGAGAGACTTTCATTTCGTCATCTTCTGGTGAGATTAAACTTCGAATACCTTCCTTAAGCACTTTCATACGAAGTGAAAGTCTTTCCAGCAATGTTATCTCAGGAGATTTATCAAGCCCAGTTACTATTCGCATCTTACATATAAAAGTATGGGCGTAGGAAATTGGGCAGGAGGCATTTGTGGCTGCTGAATGGGCTTAAGGAGGAAGAGGAGGAGAAATGGGAGCAGGAAGAACAGCTGAGCAACGGCAGTTGGCCTGACGAGACGGATGAGATGGGTTCGTAAACTGGCCAAACCGAATAGTGAAGGAGGATTATCTTGGACTTGTAACTGCAGGATTGTGTAAAGAAGAACACGATGCATCAGTGCTGAGCTTTCAGTCGTCATGTGACAGGAGTGGTCAGGGGCAGGAACCTTGATTTACGAAACATTTAATAAAGTACATCAAACCAAAAAGGTTTGCTTGTTAAAGACCTACTTACTTCTTGCATCTTCTTCAAGTGGGATCGACCTTAGAATCTCTTCTTTCAGCACTTTCATACGAAACAAAATTCTCCCCAACAATGTAGTCTTAGGAGACTCATCGAAACCCATTTACTCTTCATAGCATATTTAGCAAAAAAGC